ATCTTGGGAGTTCTTTTATTTTATTTGTTATTATTTTATTTTTCCATAAGTTATTGGGGTACAGGTGGTATTTGGTTACATGAATAAGTCCTTTAGTGGTAATTTGTGAGATTTTGGTGCACCCATTACCCAAGCAGTATACATTGCACCATATTTGTAGCCTTTTGTCCCTCGCCCCTCTCCCACTCTTCCCTCATGTCCCCAAAGTCCACTGTATCCTATTTATGCCTTTAAGTCCTCATAGCTTAGCTCCCACATATCCGTGAGAACATACAAAGTTTGATTTTTCCATTCCTGAGTTACTTCACTTAGAATAATAGTCTCCAATCTCATCCAGGTCGCTGCAAACACCATTAATTCATGTCTTCTTATGGCTGAGTAGTACTCTATCACATAAATATACCACAGTTTCTTTATCCACTCGTTGATTGATGGGCATTTGGGTTGGTTTCACGATTTTGCAATTGCAAATTGTGCTGCTAGAAACATGTGTGCGCAAGTATCTTTTTCGTAAAATGGCTTGTTTTCCCCTGGGTAGATACCCAGTAGTGGGATTGCTGGATCACATGGTAGTTCTACTTTTAGTTCTTTAGGGAATCTCCACACTGTTTTTCAAACACAAAACCACAATGCGATACCACCTTACTCCTGCAAGAATGGTCATAATCAAAAAAATCAAAAACCAGTAGATGTTGGCATGGATGTGGTGAAAAGTGAATACTTCTTCACTGCTGGTGGGAATGTAAACTAGGACATAATATTCCTTCTAACAGCTGCAGAATGCATATTCTTCTCCACAGAACATGGAACAATCTCCAGTATAGGTATATTAGGTTACAAAAAATGTCTTGACAAATTTAAGAACATTGAAATAATATCAAGTATCTTTTCTGATCACAATGGCACAAAACTATAAATAAATAGAAGGAGGAATGTTGGAAACTTCCCAAACACACATAAACTAACAGCATGCTCATGAACCACCAATGGATCAATGAAGAAATAAAAAAAAATAGAAACACAATATACTGAAGCCTGTGAAATATAGTAAAAGCAGGTCTAAGAGGGAAGGTAGCAACAATAAATGCCTACATCAAAAAAAGAAAAGAAAAATCTTAAATAAACAAGCAATTATGGCACCTCAAGTAACTAGAAAAACAAAAAGCTAAGCTCCAAGTTAGTAGAAGGAAGAAAATAATTAAAATCAGAGCAGAAATAAGTTAAATAGAGACTAGAAAAATAATAGAAAAATCAATGAATCTAAAAGGTGGGCTTTTGAAAAGATCAACAAAGTCAATAAACTTTAAGCTGACTAAGGAAAAAGACTTGAATAAAATCATAAATGTAAAAGGAAGGATTATAACTGATATAACAGAAATATAAAAAAATCATGAGGTTACTATGAATAATTATATGCCAACATAATGAATAACCTAGGAGAAATGACAAATGCCTTAATGCATAAAATCTAAAAAAATTGAATTGAGAATAAGCACAAAATCTTCACAGTTCAACAAGTAAGGAGATAAAATCAGTAATAAAGAGTATGTCATCAAAGTAAGGCCCTAGACCTAAAGGCTTCACTGCTGAAAAATATTGAAAAGAAGAGAATACTTTAAAACTCATTTTACAAGGCCAGCGTCTTCCTCATATCAAAGCCAGATAAAGACACTATAAAAATAGAAAACAACAGGACATTATCTCTGATGAATATAGATTCAAAAATCTTCAACAAGGTACTAACAAACCTAATTCAACAGCACATTTAAAGATCACCATAATCAAGTAGGATTCATCCCAGGAATGCAAGGACAGTTCAACACATGCAAATTAGTATATGTGATACACTATATTAACAAAATAAATAATATAAAATATATGATTGCTTCAATAAATGCAGAAATATTATTTGATAAAATTCTACATTCATCATAAAAATTCCCAAAAATTAGGTATAGGAGAAATGTACCCTAACAAAATAAGGGCTATATATGACAAACTCACAGCTAGCATCATACTCAGTGGGGAAAAGAGGAAAGTTTTTCCATTAAGATAAAGAATAAGGCAAGAATGGCCACTCTCAAGATTTCTATTCAATATAGAACTGAAGGTACTAACTAGAGCAATTAGACAAGAGAAAAAATTATAGGCATCCAAATTGGAAAGTAAGAAGTTAAATTGTCTCTGTTTACAGATGACTTAATTTGAAGTATAGAAAACCGTGCAGAACCAGTAAGAAAAAAATTTACAGCTAACAAAAAATTCAGCAAAGTTGCAGTATATAAAATTAACATTCAAAAATTAATAGCATTTCTGTATAGTAACCACAAACTGATAAAGAAATTTTTAAAAATCTCATTTATAATAGCTACAAAAATAAGATACTTAACAATAAACTTCACCAAAGAAGTGAAAGAACTGTACATTAAAAATTCTAAAACATTGTGAAAAGAAATTGGAGACAGCACAAATAAATGAGAAGATATTTCATATTCATGAAATTAAATAATATTGTTAAAATGTCAATACTATTCAAAGTGATCTAGAGAATCAATGTATTTGCTATCTAAATAATAATGACATTCTTCATCAAAGTAGAAAAAATATACTGAAATCAAGTAGACAGAGCCAAAAAAGATCCGGAATAGGCAAAGCAACCTTAAGCAAAATGAACAAACCTGGAGGCATCACACTGACTCAATTCAAAATATACTACAAAGCTATAGTAACCAAAACAGAATGGTGCTGGCATAAAAATAAACACATACCAGAACAGAATAGAGACTTCAGAAACAAATCCATGAATTTACAGCCAACTGATCTTCAGCAGTGTTCCCAAAAACACAAAACGAGAAAAGGATAGTCTCTTTGATAAATGGTGTTGAGAAAACAGGATATTTACATGCAGAAGAATGAAATTAGATTATTATCTCACACCATATTCAGAAATACACTCAAGATGAATTAAAGACTTAAATGTAAGAACCAAAACTATGAAACTTTAAATATGACCCTAAAAGCAAAACCAACAAAAACAAAAATAGACAAATAGGATTACATCAAACCAAACAGCTCTGCACAGCAAAGGAAATGAACAACAGAGTGAAAGGACAATCTACAGAATGGTAGAAAATATTTATGTATTACACATCAGATAAGGAATTAATAAATTAATATCCAAAATAGTATCCAACACTACTATTATTATTATTATTTGGAAATAACATTCAACACAAAAACAAGCAGCAAAAAAAGAGATAGTTATATTATAAAATAGGCAAAGTCATTTCTCAAAAGAAGATATACGAATGGCCAAATATAAAACAAAGTTCAAAATTACTAATCATCAAGGAAATGCAAATTTTGACCACAATGAGATATTATATCACACCTGTTAGAATGGCTATTACAAAAAAGACAAAAGATGACATGTTGGTGAGGATGTGGAGAAAAAGTTACCCCTGCACACTATTGGTGGGAACGTAGGTTAGCAGAGCCATTATGAAAAATAATATGAACATTTCTCAAAAATTTTAAAGTAAAAATTCCAGATGATCCAGGATCCCACTACTGGGTATATATCCAAAGAAAATGAAGTCAGCATTTCAAAGAGATATCTGTGCTCCAATAATGATTGCAGCGTTATTCACAATAGCCAAAATCTGTAATCAACCTAAGTATTTGTCAATAGATAAATGGATAAAGAAAATTTAATGTATATACTCAGTGGAATATTATTCAGCCATAAAAAGAAAGTCCTGCCATTTGCAAGAACATGGATCAATCTGGAGGACACTATGTTAAGTGAAATAAGCCAGGCAAAGACAAATACTGCATGATCTTATATGTGGAATGGAAAAAGTTGATCTCATAGAAGTGGAGAGAATGATGAGTACCAGGAGCTGAAGTGGTTGGTACAGAGATGGGGAGTTCTGGAAATGTTGGTCAAAGGATACAAAATTTTAGTCAGGTAGAAGGAATAAATTCAAGAGATATATTGTGCAACATGCTGACTATAGTTAGTAACGTATTGTGTGAAAAACGCTAAGGGAACGGATGTAAATTTTCTTACCACAAAACGATGACTATGCAAGGTAAAACACATGTTAATTATATAGATTTAGTCATTCCTCAATATACATATACTTCAAAACATTATTCTGTGCACAGTAAATATGTATAATTTTATCTGTCAGTTTAAAAATAAAGAATAAAAAACCTACAAAAGTGTATTCTGCTTTATAAAAAAAATACAAAAAATGTATACAAAAAGAATACAAAAGGTGTATTCTTTTTTAAAAAAAATTGGCATAGGACTTGAATAAACATTTCTCCAAACATAATATATTATAATGGCCAAGCATATGAAAAAATGCTCATCATTAATCATTAAGAAAATGTAAATCAAATCCACAATAATATATTACCTCATACCAATTACAATAGTAACTATAAAAACACACACACACACACAGCAAATTAGAACCCTTGTGCACTGTTGGTAGCAATTTAAAATGGTAGAGTAGCTATGAAAAACAGTATGGAGGTTTCTCAAAAAACTAAAAATAGGATTACCATATGATCCAGCAATTTCACTTCTAAGTGTCTTGAAATTGAAATCAATTCAAAGCAGGATTTCATAGACATTTTCACACTCATGTTGATAATAGAGGTATTCAAATCTCTGTTAGGTGGGCAGTGCTAGATGTTGTATCAGATAATCCTCACATTTCAGCAACGTAAAACACTAAAATAGTATATTCTTGCTCATGCAATAGTCCACATAGTTGTTCCTGGTTGTTTGTAGGGCAGGATTTTGAAGGATTCAGGCTGACGAAGCTCTGCATCTTCCATATGTGGTTTTTAAGGTCCCACTGAGCATTGACATTCAGTTGACATGGGAGAAGAGGGTGTGGAGAAAACAGGTCCTTTCTTAATGATCCCAGCTTAAGCACATTTTATTGCTTTGGTGAAAGCTGCTTACATACTTCTTCCAACAGCAAAGAGGGCATCAAGATGGTGGATGAAGGTTGTTGGGGTTATCGGAGTGAAGTAAAATAACACCATCCAATGTACCAAGGTGAAGAAGATGGGTAGGAGGTGAGCAGTCTGGATCACCATTTTCTCTGGGCATCTTCTTACTCTCAGGCATAGGACCTATAAACTCTCATTCATTCCCTATCATTGGGAATCAGTTTAGAGGTCAGTAGAATAGATTTCCTGTATTTGAGAGTTCGGAGAAAGTACACAACATGCATTACAGCACCATGAAATAATAATTGCTGGGCCTAAGGGTGGCTAGGAAGTTGTGCTAAAGATTATGGGGTTTTCTGCAGAATCATTGAAGCTATCTTTGATTGCAAAAGTATATTTGGAGTAAAAGTAAAGTAAAAATAACAATGTTTTTTCTTTTATCACATAGCTAGAAAATTGCTCTTATATTATCAAATTAGATATTGTTCCTTAATCAAATATAGGATGGCCACAAAAAGACACTTTTGATTGTTGAACCTGGATGAGATTTTTAACAGGCAAGCAGAAGGTGCATCTGGATGGGATTCTGATAAGTAAAATAATCACAGCAGACTCACCACAAATACCATGTTCTCTATAATCCACAGTTATTATATCCAGAGCCCTGACAATGCAGCACTGTGTATAAAACCTCAATTGAAACCACAGCCGCAAGACAAAACAGCTTAGAAGAGCATTCAGATATTTATAAACCCAATAAAGGTATCCAAAGAATATGGTCTTTACTAAATAGATCTGAAAATGTCAGTTCTGGTTTTCAATTTGCTTCATTTCCTGTCATTGCATGAAATCGCTACTCCCAACACACCCCTGAAGGCTAAGATTCTCCCCACCTCTCATATTACTTGGCACATAGACATTCATAAGTTTCTGTTGACTAAATTTCAAGGAATGAAATTCGATCTAGGGGTGGAATGTGTAGATTCTAGGATTTCTTGACATTCAGTAAATAACGCAAAACCATTTTCTAAATCAATTGCATAAATTTACTTTATCATCAACAGTATATGAGAATTTTGATATTTACACATCATAATTAGCACATGGTTCTGTTTCCAGAACGTATTCATTTTCTCTGGGTTTTCTAGTTTGTGATTACCGATGTTCATGGTAGTCTCTGATGATCTTTTGTAATTTTGTGGTATCAGTTGTAATGTTGCTCCACTTTTTTAAAAATTTAAGTTCCAAGATACATGTGCAGAACATGCAGGTTTGTTACATAGGTATACATGTACCACAGTGGTTTGCTGCACCTATCAACCTGTCATTTAGGTTTTAAGCCCCACATGCGTGAGGTATTTGTCCTAGTGCTCTCTCCGTTTCCTTGCCCCACAACCTTCGACAGGCCCTGGTGTGTGATGTTTCCCTCCCTGTGTCCATGTGTTCCCATTGTTCAACTCCCACTTATGAATAAGAATATGCAGTGTTTGGTTTTCTGTTTCTGTGTTAGTTTGCTGAGAATAATGGTTTCCAGGTTCATCCATGTCCCTGCAAAGGACATGATCTTATTCCTTTTTATGGCTGCATAGTATTCCCTGGTGTATATGTGCCACACTTTCTTTATCCAATCTGTCATAGATGGGCATTTGTGTTGATTCCAAGTCTTTGGTATTGCGAATAGTCTTGCAATAAACATACTTGTGCATGTGTCTTTATAGTAGAATGATTTATAATCCATTGGGTGTATACTCAGTAATAGGATTGCTGGGTAAAATGGTATTTCTGGTTCCAGATCCTTGTGATCATTCATGATTTGATTCTCTACTTGCCTATTGTTGCTATATAGGAATACTTGTGATTTTTGCACATTGATGTTGTGTCCTGAGACTTTGCTGAAGTTGCTTATCAGCTTAAGGAGTTTTGGGGCTGAGATGATTGTGTTTTCTAAATATATAATCAAGTCATCTGCAAATAGACACAATTTGACTTCCTCTCTTCCTATTTGATTACACTTCATTTCTTTCTCTTGCCAGATTTCCTTGGCCAGAACTTCCAATACTATGTTGAATAGGAGTGGTGAGAAAGGGCATTCTTGTCTTGTGCTGGTTTTCAAAGGGAATGCTTCCAGCTTTTGCCATTCAGTATGGTATTGGCTATGAGTTTGTCATAAATTGCTCTTATTGTTTTGAGATATGTTCAATCAATACTTACTTTATTGAGAGTTTTTAACATGAAGGGATGTTGAATTTTATCAAACGCCTTTTCTGCATCTATTGAGGTAATCATGTGGTTCTCTTTATGATGGATTATGTTTATTGATTTGTGCATGTTGAACCAGTCTTGCATTTCAGGATGAAGCCAACTTGATCGTGATGGATAAGCTTTTTGATGTGCTCCTGGATTCGGTTTGACAGCATTTTATTGAGGATTTTCACATTGATGTTCATCAGGGGTATTGGCCTGAAGTTGTTTGTTGTTGTTGTGTCTCTGCCAGGTTTTGGTATCAAGATGATGCTGGCTTTATAAAATAAGTTAGGGAGGAGTCCCTCTTTTTCAGTTGTTTGGAATATTTTCAGAAGGAATGATACCAGCTCCTCTTTGTACCTCTGGTAGAATTTGGCAGTGAATCTGCCTGGTCTTGGGCTTTCTTTGATTGGTAAACTATTAATTACTGCCTCAGTTTCAGAGTTTGTTATTGGTCTATTCAGAGATTCAACTTCTTCCTGGTTTACTCTTAGGAGGGTGTGTGTGTCCAGGAATGTATCCATTTCTTCTAGATTTTCTAGTTTATTTGTGTAGACATGTTTATAGTATTCTCTGATGGTAGTTTGTATTTCTGTGGGATCAGCAGTGATATCCTCTTTATTATTTTTATTGTGTCTATTTGATTCTTCTCTCTTTTCTTCATTAGTCTAGCTAACATTCTATCTATTTTGTTAATTGTTTTCCAAAAAACCAGTTCCTGGATTCATTGTTTTATTCTGAAGGATTTTTCATGTCTCTGTCTCCTTCAGTTCTGCTCTGATATTAGTTATTTCTTGTCTTCTCCTAGGTTTTGAATTTGTTTGCTCTTGTTCTCTAGTTTTTTAAAAAATTGTGATGTTAGGTTGCCAATTTGAGATCTTTCCAGCTTTCTGATGTGGGCATTTAGTGCTATAAATTTCCCTCTTAACACTGCTTTAGCTGTGTCCAAGAGATTCTGAGACATTGTCTCTTTGTTCTCATTGGTTTCAAGGAAATTCTTGGTTTCTGCCTTAATTTCGTTATTTACCCAGCAGTCATTCAGGAGCAGATTGCTCAATTTCCATGTAGTTGTGCAGTTCTGAGTGAGCTTCTTAATCCTGAGTTCTAATTTGTTTGCACTGTGGTCTGCGAGACTGTTTGTTATGATTTATGTTCTTTTGTATTTGCTGAGGGGTGTTTTACTTCCAATTATGTGGTTGATTTTAGAATAAATACCATGTGGTGCTAAGAAGAATGTACATTCTGTTGATTTGGGTTGGAGAGTTTTGTAGATATCTCTTAGGTCCACTCGATCCAGAGCTGAGTTCAAGTCCTGAATATCTTTGTTAATTTTCTGTCTCATTGATCTGTCTAATATTGACAGTGGGGTGTTAAAGTCTCCCATTATTATTGTGTGGGAGTCTAAGACTCTTTGTATGTCTCTAAGAACTTGCTTTATGAATCTGGATGCCTCTGTATTGGGTGCATATATATTTAAGATAGCTAGCTTTTCTTGTTGCATTGATCCCGTTACCATTATCTGATGACTTTCTTTGTCTTTTTTGATCTTTATCAGTTTAAAATCTGTTTTATCAGAGACTAGGCTTGCAACCTCCACTTTTTTGCTTTCCATTTGCTTGGTAAATATTTCTCCAGCCCTTTATGTTGAGCCTATGTGTGTCTTCACACATGAAATGGGTCTCCGGAATACAGCACACCAATGGGTCTTGATTCTATCCAATTTGCCAGTCTGTGTCTTTTAATGGAGGCTTTTAGACCATTTACATTTAAGGTTAGTATTGTTATGTGTGAATTTGATCCTGTCATCATGATGCTAGCTGGTTATTTTGCACATTCGTTGATGCAGGTTCTTCATGGTGTCTTTGGTCTTTATATTTTGGTGTGTTTTTGCAGTGACTGGTACCAGTTTTTCCTTTCCATATTTAGTGCTTCCTTCAGAAGCCTTTGCAAAGCAGGCCTAGTCATGACAAAATCCCTCAGCATTTGGTTGTCTGGAAAGGAGTTTATTTCTCCTTCACTTATGAAGCTTAGTTTGGCTGGATATGAAATTCTGGGTTGAAAATTCTTTAAGAATGTTGAATATTGGTCCCCTCTCTCTTCTGGCTTGTAGGGTTTCTGCAGAAAGATCCACTGTTAGTCTGATGGGCTTCCTTTTGGAGGTCACCTGACATTTGTCCCTGGCTGCCCTTAACATTTCTTCCTTCATTTCAGTCTTGGAGAATCTGATGATCATGTGTCTTGGGGATGATCTTCTCATGGAGTATCTTAATGGTATTCTCTATATTTCCTGAATTTCAATGCTGTCCTGTCATGCTAGGTTGGGGAAGTTCTCCTGGATAATATGCTGAAGTGTGTTTTCCCACTTGGTCCCATTCTCCCCATCACTTTCAGGTACACCAATCAGATATAGGTGTGTTCTTTTCACATAATGCCATATTTCTTGGAGGCTTTGTTCATTCCTTTTAACTCTTTTATCTCTAATATTGTCTTCATGCCTTATTTCAGCCCGGTGGTCTTCAACCTCTGATATCCTTTCTTCCACTTGATTGATTCGGCTATTGATACTTGTGTATGCTTCATGAAGTTCTTGCGGTGTATTTTTCAGCTTCATCAGGTCATTTATGTTCCTCTCTAAACTGGTTATTCTAGTTAGCAGCTCCGGTAACCTTTTATCAAGTTTCTTAGCTTCCTTGCATTGGGTTAGAACATGTTCCTTTAGCTCAGAGGAGTTTGTTATTACACATCTTCCGAAGCCTACTTCTGTCAATTCGTCAATCTCATTCTCTGTCCAGTTTTGTGCCCTTCCTGGAGAGGTGTTGCGACCATTTGGAAGAGAAGAGGTATTCTGGCTTTTGGAATTTTCAGCGTTTTTGTGCTGGTTTTTCCTCATCTCTGTGGATTTATCTACCTTTGATCTTTGAGGCTGATAACCTTTGCATGGGGTTTTTGTGTGGCGGTCTTTTTTGTTAATGTTGTTGTTGTTGTTGCTTTCTGCTTGTTTTTTTCTTCTAATAGTCAGGCTCCCCTTCTGCAGGTCTGCTGCAGTTTTCTGGAGGTCCACTCCAGACCCTGTTTGCCTGGGTATCACCAGTGGAGTCTGCAGAACAGCTTAGATTGCTTCCTGTTCCTTCCTCTGGAAGCTTCATTCCGGAGGGGGCATCAGTCTGATGCCACTCAGAGCTCTCCTGTAGGAGATGTCTGTTAACCCCTCTTTGGAGGTCTCTGCCAGTCAGGAGACACAGGGGTCAAGGACCTACGTGAGGTCACAGTCTGTCCCTTAGCAGAGCTGGTGCGCTGTGCTAGGAGAATGCCCTTGTCAGGATCAGCTGCTCTCTTCAGAACAAGCAGTCAGAAAAGATTAAGTCCGCTCACGCTGCACCTGCAGCTACCCCTCCCCACAGTTGCTCTGCCCCAGGGAAATGAGAGTTTGGTCTGTAAGCCCCTGAATGGGGCTGCTGCATTTCCTTCAGAGATGCCCCGCCCAGTGAGGAGGAACCTAGAGAAGCAGTCTGGCTACAGCTGCTTTGCTGCGCTGTGGTGATTTCCCCCCAGACCAAACCTTCCATTCTCCTTAGCACTGTCAGCTGAAAACCGCCTACTAAAGCCTCAGTAATGGCGGATGCCCCTCCCCCCACCAAGCTCAATCGTCCCAGGTGGACTTCAGACTGCTGTCCTGGCAGTGAGGATTTCAAGCCAGTAGTTCTTAGCTTGCTGGGCTCCGTGGGAGTGGGACCCACTGGACGAGATCACTTGGCTCGCTGGCTTCATCCCCCTTTACAGAGAAGTGGATGGTTATCCTCTCTCTCTGGAGTTCTACTTACTGCTGGGGTATGAAAATACTAGCTCGGTGCCTGCCCAAACAGCCACTCAATTCCGTGCTTGAAACCCAGGGTCCTGGTGGTGTAGGATCATGAGGGAATCTCCTGATCTGTGGATTGCAAAAAACCCTGGCAAAAGTGTAGTACCGGGGTGGGTAGCACAGTCCCTCACCACTTCCCTTGGCTAGGGGAGGGAGGTCCTAGGGCTCCTGGCACTTCCCAGGTGAAGCGATGCCCCACCCTGCTTCTGCTTGCTCTGCATGGATTGCACCCAATGCCTAACCAGTCCCAATGATATGAACTTGGTACCTCAGTTGGAAATGCAGAAATCGCCTGCCTTCTGCGTTGGTCTCACTGAGAGCTGCAGACCAGAGAGCTGTTTTTATTAATCCATCATGGCCCTTCTCCAGTGACTCACACTTTCACATGGCTGGGAGGCCTCAGTAAACTTACACTTATGGCAGGAGGTAAAGGGGAAGCACTGACGTCTTACAGGGTGGCAGAAGAGAGAGTGAGGAAGTGCCACACTTTACAACCATCAGATCATGTGAGAACTCACTCACTATCAGGAGAGCAGCATGGGGGAGACTGCCCCCATGATCCAATTGCCCCCCACTAGGTCCCTCCCTCAACAGGCATTAAAATTTAAGATGAGATTTGGGTGGGGACACAAAGGCAAACTATGCCAATTATGTATACATTTTTATCTTAAGAGGCACTGTTAAACTATATTCCAGGAAGCTTGCATAAATGCTCACTTTTACTAAGTCTGCCTGAAAATGAGAATTACCCAATATTCTTACCTGTTACCCACTGAATATTATGAACCTTTTAATTTTCCACTATAGCAGGCAAAAATAGATAGCTTTTTAAGTTGCATTTTTATGATTATTATTGAGGTATGTATTCTTTGATCACCTCAAAAAATAGGCTGCTTGATTTTTTTCTGATTGAATTTTGAAATGAATTATTTAATTTTCTTATTAGTATATGATTTTTCATAGATAAATATTAATTATATGTGACAAATTATAAATATTTCTGTACTTTAGTCTTGTTTCTTAATTGTTTATATTTTGTGTGTGTGTGTGTAAGCTTTTGAATGTTGCAAAATAAATCAGTCATTTTTCCCCTTCATTCCTTCTGAACATTCTATTTTGAAAAATACTTCCTAATCCAAAGTGGAAATCCAAAGTGGAAATATTATTCTCTAATTTACTCTAGAAAATGTACTTCCTTTTTTTTTTTTTTTTTTTTTTTTTGAGACGGAGTCTTACTCTGTTGCCCAGGCTGGAATGTGGTGGTGAGATCTCAGCTCACTGCAACCTCTGCCTCCTAGGTTCAAGTGATTCTCCTGCCTCAGCCTCCTGAGAAGCTGGGACTAGAGATGTACACCATCATGTCCAGCTAATTCTTGTATAGAAAATTTACTTCTTAACATTTAAATCTTTATTTCATATGGAATTAATTTTTTGATGCAAATATTTAGTTTCTTTCAAATCAATAGTTGATTATTCCAGAACCCATTTTTCAATATGTAATAACTTACCCATTGATTTTGAAATGCTACACTTATTATACACACTTGAATCATTTTGTACATGGATTATTTGTCCTGTGCCAGGAATCTGGAATGCAAAGATCTCCAACTCATATTTGGAATAAAAATTATTGGTTATTTTAATTAACAGATCAATGTAGATCTAATTTAGAATTAGTTTCTTCAGTTAAACACATTATTCATTTAGGTGATGACATTTTGTGAAAACTTGGGCATTCATAGAGGAAGAGCTGATGTCTGTGTGACACTGTGATACCCTTGGGGCATTTTTTATGACCTCTGAAATATGATCTTTTTTTTGTATATATCTGTGCTTATTTTGTTGCAAAATATTTGTTTCTAAGAATTTTATAGTTTTATTGTTATTGTGATTTGGAAATGTTTGTACATGTTGTAGATAAAGAAATCTATTTATATCTATTTCTAAATGGTTGTATATACCATATATAAAGAAGAGTTATTGCTTTTTCTGTGTTTTTCTTATATTCAATCACCTTATTAAAGGTGATATTATATTTTTCTATTTATTTCCCTTAGATTTACTTAAATATGATAGTTTTCCCCTTTTAAGCATTCATAGCTTTATAAATACTTGGTAAAAGTTTTATTAAATTTGACAGAATTCTTAAACAATACCATCCAATCCTCCTGCCATTCCATTCTAATTCTCTTCCTCTGGACCATGCTGCCTTCTGCAAGGGAGTGGAATGCTGGCCTTGTATTTTTCTTATTACTACAATCCATGCGGATTTGTTGCATGTAGAAATTATTTTACAGATATAATAGATTTTAATGTTTGAACAATGTTTTTCTGTTTATCTAGAGAAAGAATAGTAACTGTTGTTTACTTTAAATCCAATCAAACTGAGAAAGAGACAAAGAGAGCGAAGAAAGATTGATTTACTCGAACTCAGCATTAGAAACCTCTTACTCACCTCAGACCTACAGAATCAAATTCTCAAGGCTGGAGGCCCAGCATCTGCAGTTGTAACCAGATTTCCAGGTAATTCTGCCACACAGAGAAGCCAAAAACTCCTTCTCTAAAGCCATGAGAACAACCACAATTTTTAAAAGTTATATAATGATGTCAGGTTTTCAGTAAATATAAGAAGCAGGTGTGTTACCCATGATACTGTAAGGAATTGTATGTGACACTTGTAAAATTGTAAGATTCGCTTACAAAAATGGGCTCTAACAACTTCAAGAGACTATGATCCGAGAGTAGTGTGGAAAGGAAAATGAGATCAGGAAAGCTGAAAGAGAGAGCAAAGGCAAAAGCAGGAGTGAGGAGAGGCGGGGTGAGCAAAAGGACTGGTTAGAAAGAGAGAAGACATATGTTTGTAACACAGCTAACCTGTGCAAATGGAGTCCTGATCTTCTCTTGGATTTCCTTGTGTGAGCCACCTCAACAGGGGACAGACTGCAGACTTACTTGCATCTTTTTCTGTTTTCAAGCTCACAAAGCCTCTCCATCATAAGTTTCTCCACATTTTAAAATATTTTATTATAATCCAAAAATCATTGGCCTGATATGAACAGGAATGAGCATGTATTCTCCAGCATTAGTTTGTAGTTTATGCAGAAGTGCCTACTATATACAGTAGGGTCCCCCTTGTTCACAATTTCACTTCCTGAAGTTTCTGTTACCTGTGGTATGATATGGTATTTTGAGAGAGAGACCACATTAACATAACTTTTATTACAGAATATTGTTGTAATTGTTCTTTGTATTTTGTTTATTGTTGATAATCTCTCACTGTGCCTAATTTATACATTTAAACTTTATCATAGGTGTGTTTTGAGCTCGTTTCATAGTCTCTGCAAGCCTGTAACTAAGTCCTGAAACAGATGAAAAAATTCTGAAGAGAGAAGCATGATGCAGTTCATTATTTAACGAAGAGAAGATTCTCTTTCTCCATGTCTTTGGGGGGAAAAATGTAGTATATTTAGGTTCAGTACTATTCGCAGCATCATGCTTTCACTGGGGAACTACTGCACATTAATAGGGTGCTATTATCTCCTTAAGCACAGAGAGCAGGCTCCTTAGAGTGCTGAGATCAATTGGCAAGCATTTGCTTTTGTAGCTGACTTTGCGCAAGTTCTACACTATGCCCTGTGACCCTGATAAAGAATCCTTTCTGTCTGTTGGAAGGGCCTGGTGAGCTGGATTGAGCGACTCAGAGCAAGTCCAACTGGAAAAATAGCAAAAAAAAAACCCCAAAGAAACAAACAAAAAACCAGAGACAGACAGAATAATCATCAAGTTGACCAATAAAAAGAAAACGAAATGCTGTACTGATGAACACTGCAGAGAGAGATTTGTGGGAATCCAGGCTGTCCCCTTAATAAAACAGCAATAACATATGAGATAGTTGCAAAAAAAAAAGTTTTAAAATTTAATCTACTGTTTTGTTTTCTTTTTCAGTAATAGTAATAGAATAAGAATCATACAATCTCTAGTGGTGATCTGGCAGTTTTATGGAAAGCTAAAGATAAAGCAATTCTAAAATAGAAGTAAGGAGCGGATCGATAAATTCAGTCTTCTTCCCAGCTGGAGATCCAGGATAAGGAGGAACTGGATTAGCAAGTAAATGACAACCTCATCATTAGAGCTCGTTTCATAGTCTGCAAGCCTGTAACTAAGCCCTAGAACAGATGAAAAAATTCTGAAGAGAGAAGCATGATACAGTTCATCATTTAATGAGAAGATTCTCTTTCTTCATGTCTTTGGGGAAAAAAGTGACATATAATTCAATGTCCTCCATTCCCTAAATCAGAGTTTCTAGTGTGTGGTCCCTAAATCAACATCAGCATCCCTTGGTAATTTCAAAATGTAAATCTCAGCTCTTCCCCAGGCCTATTGAACCAGAAACTCGGGGAAGTTTCAGCAATCTGTGCTAATAAGCCCTCCAGGTATTTCTGATGCATGGGAAAGTTTGAGACCTACTTCCCTAAAACATGTGTATTTTCCATTTTAAAGCCTTTATCAAGAATGCGTGTGATGGAAGTTATCACAGAAGTGGACTTGATGCATTCGTGCTTCCATAGGCTTCGTTTCTTGGCTTATTTGGAACTATAAAGCTAAGAGATAGATGGACGCGTTCCTAATACAAGAATGTTGGTATTTGCACAATGAGGTCCCGGGAGACTTTTTAAGACATTAAAAAAATTGGTATGAGAAATAAGAGGGAGTTGCAGCATTAACTATTGTCTTGTTTTCCAGGATGAAGGAGATCTCCCAGGACTTTTCTCAGGGGATCATCCTCTACATTGAGAAGTGGCACAAGGAGAAGATCATCGTAATCCAACTCATAGCACAGTGAAATGAACTCAAAGACTGTTGCCTACTGGTTAACCTTGTGATTGGAAATTAGCTTATGAATTAATTTTTGCCATAGTGACATTATATATATTCATTTGTGTCTTTCTTATAACTTTTAATTTTTTTCTTAATTTGCTGACTGTTAAAATTTGGTATTTCTGAGAGTTTCCTTCTCTTTCCTCCAACACCCCAATGATATCCAATAAATATTCCAGTTTATATAAAAAAGTAATTTTTGCACTTGGTGAGCGCAATTTAACTTAACATCCTTTTTAAATTGTGATAGATTCCATATACCATCAAGTTATCCTCCTAAAGTATATGAGTCAGTGGATTTTACTGTATTTACAAAGCTGTACAACCATCACCACTAATTCTAGACCTAGCAAATGCAGTAGTCCTCCCTGCTTCATGCCTCTGAAATGTGTTGCTTTTCTTTAGTGTCCTCATGAGGGAGCCTCAGAGAGTGGAGAAAGTTCAGGTGCATCATGATAGCACCTTGGCTATGAACTCACATGAACAGGTGAATAAATCTGAGAAGCACAAGAATATTGGCTAGATGATAGCTTGAGTTATATTTTCTTCTTAATTCCTGGGGTAGCTGAACATAGAAATTTCAGTTTAGTTACATAAACTGTAGCATGATTTTTTATTCCTCTTTTAATATCTGTTATCAAAGATTTAGAAAAATGGAAGAAATAATAATCTACGCTTCACAGAAACTAGGAAAAAAATTAAAAGGCCCTTATTTCCTTCTTTTTCCAGATGTTAGCTATCATAACCCTTAAGGAAATATCAAAAGGCTATGACCTAGGCTGACTAAATTTATAGAAGCAATAAAAAGAAGCCCAACATATGCATAAATACCAGCTTTGGTGGGTGGGAGTAAGACAGTGGGGGATAAGAGAGCCCTAGAATAGCAGATACTAAAATAACCATGGGCTATCAAGCAAAAGGGACACCAAGAAGCAAGGTGCCTTGGGAAGGGAAGTGTCCTGGGGCACAAGAATTGGGTCTGCATGATAAAGAAGGGAGCGCAGCTACCTCTCCCCTCTTCCTGCTGCCTGATTACCCCACATCTCTCTAGAAAGTAGTGCTGTGGATCCAGGCTTCCATCTGTTTGCATTCAGATCTGTGATCTTGCCAAGTCTAATCTGACCAAATTATTGGCAGCTTTGCATGCTACACAAGTGACTGGGGACCTTTTCTCTGAATCCAGATGAAGTGAGCCACTTGCAAGAATCCTGCAAAGATAGTAAAACTTCTGAGCATTTATTTCCCCAATCCTCTTGGAGGCTATTCAGCTAGATACTGTGCAATACATCCACCTGGGAGGCCGCAGCAGAGGAGAGATCCACATTGATAAAACACAGAGAAAGGGGATTTTGATGTCAATATAAGGGAACTTGGAGAGCTGTAAACCAGGGCAGACTGCACTGTTTAGCTTCTGAGGCATCAGTAAGAGCCATTACTTCAAGTTACTAGTTCAGTACGCTGAGCTACAGGGTCAACCCAGACTTCAGGAAGAGCCAGGACACTCAGCACCTAGACTCTTATTCTAAAACTAGGAACTCCAGCTGCTGCTGTGTAAGAGCTGCTTGAGAACTGTGTGTCATGTCCTGGGCTTTTCTCTTGCAGGGATTGCAAGGCCAGGACCCTCAGGTCATCCTCAGAGACCCTGAGGATGCTCCAGGGACCTGGGTCCTTCTTCCTGAAAACAGAAGAGAGTTTCAAATGAGATTGGACCATGACAACAGTGACTATCATTATCTGGATGACAGTAGGTTTAAAGAAAATATTCAAGTTTTCAAACTTGGTGAAAGAGAAAGCATGGTGAAAGAGACACTTCGTGAAAGCGAAAGCATGAATTACAAACTCAGTATTTAAAAATCAAAAGCATTATTCAGACTCAAGTATAAAAGCCAAATGCCACGAATTACTTCCAAATTCACATTTTTTTGAGATATGATTAATTAAAGTTATATTTGAGGATGCATTTTCCTAAGTGACTTTTGGTTTAGGAGTCTTCTTCATATAATCTTTTTCTAAGAACTAACTGAAAGGAATTTATTTGTTATCCAAGAATTGTCATAACTGTTTCTTCATTTCGGCACTATTTATTAATTCACAGGTCGCATGCTGTCTGACCTGTCCTGGTTGGTGGGAGGGATGGAGCCTGGCTTCCTGTGTAGGGTGCCCAAGGACTGGCTGTGGAGGCTGCTGGGCCTAAATGCTTTCCCCCAACTTCTTCCATGGACTGACTTCTGTGTCCCAAATGATTGACATATTTATTATTGACCATCTCTGACAAAAGACAAAGAATTATAGATCTACATTTTTCTCTCTCAATCTCAGGAGCCAATATATTCAGTGTGAAAGCTCAATTTTCATTTGGAAGAAAAGACAAATTGACTCAAGAAAATTTTTTTCCATAAGTCTAAATTCTAAAACTTTGTTTCAACCCACAAGAAAGATGTGTTATTATCTATCTATCTATCTATCTATCTATCTATCTATCTATCTATCTATGTTTTTTGTCCTTAGCTCCTAGCTCATAACTCCCCTAGCTCTTGTTAAAATCCTTTGTTGTAATATTGGGTGTGTTAGTTCGCAGGAGCAGACCTCAGGACACTGAATCTCTCTACTGCCTTCTTTCTCCTACCCTAAGGCAGGACTCTAATCTTCTCTCACCTTTGTGATAATGGATCTTAAGAAATTTCCCTGAGAGGGCTCCATCCTGTACCCTATCCTGGGGGAAGGAATGCTGATGTCACAAAGCTTCCATGAAAACCCCAAAGGACTGGGTTAAGAGGGCTGTTGTATTGCTGGACATGTGGAGGCCGACAGGAAGGTGAAGAAGTCATCTGCGTGTTGTGAGGGTGGTGTACCCCAACTCCATGGGGACAGAAGGTCCTGCATTTAGGACCCTTCCAGACCTCACCTCATCCACATACTGTGAGAGTGGTGCACCCCAACTCCACCGGGACAGAAAGTCCTGCCTTTAGGACCCTTCCAGACCTCACGTCATCCACATACTGTGAGAGTGGTGCACCCCAGCTCCACGGGGACAGAAGGTCCTGCATTTAGGACCCTTCCAGACCTCACACCTATATATCTCTTCATCTGGCTGATTACTTACATCCTTTCAAAGACCCTTCTTAGTAAACTGGTAAACGTTAAGTGTTTCTCTGAGTTCTGTGAGTCACTCTAGCAAATTAATCAAAGCCAAAGAGGGCGTCCTGGTGACCTCAACTTGAAGCCAGTTGGTCACAAGTTTCGGAGGCCCAAACTTACAACTGGGAGGAAGAAAGCAACAGTCTCGGGACCTGAGCCTTCCACTTGCGGGATGGACACTCTCTCTAGGTGGACAGTGTTGGAATTGAATTGGGGGACACCCCAGCCACTTGGCGGTGGGGGAGAATCTGCACACATTTGGTCACAGCAGTCTCCTGGGGTGATTGTTGTGTTGTGAGAGTGGAGGAGAAACAGTTTGAGAGTTGTTTTTCTGATACAAAGTGAAAATATAATTTAAATACATTTGGAAAATAGATATGTCTTTATTAACCCCATTCTCAATTTGTCAAATTTCCAATGAAAGAAAGGTCTATTTTGTGAATTTAAGGATCTAAGCCCAGGCAATAATAGATTTAAATACAAAAGTGTAGAGGTGTCATTATTATACATTTTCTTCCTAAGTGAGTATGACGAACTTTATCGGTTGAAAGATCACTGCTGAGAGTCAATGGCACTGAGTTATATTTTAACCTTTAGAATATGACAGAATAAACCATTAGCTATAATCTTATTCATATTGTTTCTGTGGTTGTCAGAATCTGCCACAAAGTCCCAGCACCTTCCTTCGTCATTCCAAAACATCACATTTAGTCTTAATTTCTACGACCACTTCATCTGAGATAGGACTTTTTGGTCTGTGCTAACACTGACAGGTTTTCAAACTGTCTTTTTAAACATTAGACTTCATATTTATAAGGCCCCTTTCCACTGCTAGCGCCACTGGAATTGCACTTTGAAGTTTGCATATAATCCTTTAATAGTCTTAATACGTGAGGATCCTAACTATACACTAAAGCATAAAGAATTCCCTCCATTCAGACAATGTCCCCAATCCTACGAAGCAGGGAGTGAACCCGGACATGAAGCAGGGAGGAGGAAGTAGCTGGATGGTCAGATGGAGCCATTCCTCCATGATGTGTTCAAAATGATTTCTTATACCTCCAGTGAATTTATAGGAATCCTTGCTGATTGAAGTAATAAACTTTGTCAATGATATAAAAAAGAAATTTTGGAAAAGCAGGCTGAATGTCAGATATAGACACAATACCACCACTGATTATGATGTGAACTTATATGGGGTTGCCACACATGTCAAGGGACCACTGGTCTTCATCCACTGTTAAAAATCACCCTAATGGATAGTCTTTTTGGCATGCAAAGTGGTTCAGGATGTTTGTATTGGCTATTTGTCTTAGAACTAAGCAGATTTTCCACAAGCCTGGTCTAAGAGTTAGGATGTGTAGTATGAACCGTGTAGGAAAATTTATTGGATACTATTTTGCACTGTTTGGCTCCATACTGAATTTGTTATGTCAGAGGCTTTCATTCTGATTTTTTCCCCTAAGTTTTAAAATCCATAAAATGTGAGAAAAGAACAAAATCTTTTTGTAGTCTACAACTGCTAACAATCTCAGAAATCCCTTTGAATACCAACGTAAATGTGACCTACATCAGTGTATGTGGACTCCGGTTCTGTTGAGCTCAGGGATGTACTGTGTTGGATACTGAATGGATATTGCATCTCTGTGAAACCTGCTCTGGCATCATGATGTTTTAACATTAATCACAAAAAAAGGTATTTTTATTTTCTGCTGAGCTTTTAATTTTACTGGCAATAGATGCATTGCAAAAGAAAGGAGCTCTTTGAAAAACTGAAAATTGAATAGGAAATTTTATTAAATACATCATTTTGATTTGCAACCTTATTATAAAATTCGAAAAGTTCATATTCTACATTTGAATTGTCCATATGTTTCCTTAATAAGCTGCAATAAAAATAGAATATAAAAAGTCTGCAGTTTCTCATCACTTTTATCTTTAATTTAATTAAACTTCTCTGGCTTGGTAAATCATACAAAATCATTAATATTGATCCTAGTATGTGTGGTTTTTATCCTAGCTATTTGTTGAATTCTATTATTTTTAAAATATGCTTTCTTATTAATTATCAAAAACTGCATGTCTCTTTTCATTCTAGTTTACTCATATTGTTTTGTAACAAGAAAAGAGATTAAATTTGCTGATATTAGGGGGAAGTTTTGTTTAGGTTAAACAGGGGGTAATTTGAATTGAAGATAAAATATATAACCATTCTAGATATGGAGTTCTGACCTCCGCTGATTAGTAATTGGGACTGAGGTGGAGTTGAGGTAGGGACTGTAATTCCACAGTTCTTTGGTGGACCTTGACCTCCAGTGGGTGAGATAAAGGAAATGCAGTATTCTTGCAGTGCAGGAAGCCTGACTCCTATTCATGTGCATAACCCCATCTAGAACAGAAGCAGTGTTGTTTATTTTGGATTCAGGTTTCTCAGTGTATTTTCTGAATAAATAATGCAATTAATTAGTTACAATTTTCAGAATTTTTCCATTTGCTTTAAAAATATTTGTGCATGTGTGTGTGTATATGTATATATGTATATATATGTGTATATATGTACATATATGCACACATATATGTATATGTATGTATATGTATATATACACACACAAAATTCTTTGGTTTAGGGAATTTATTTTCTTGTATACTTATATATAATATAAATTGGTCTTACTTTATATTTGGAAACTGCATAAATTCAGGTAGTTGCTTGTCACAAAAACTGTTCTTGTTTTCTTTAACCTGAACTGGAAATTCAAAAGCTTATTAAAATATTAAGGCAACTAGTGTTCTCAAAGTAATTTCTCCCTACTCAGATTTTAGTCAAACAACAACATGCCCGTAATGAGTTAAATTTGTGCTTTAAGAAAAAGAAAAGCAATCGTGCTGAGGAATCCTAGTTGGCCCAGGAGGTTAGAAAAGGCACGTTGATTCTCCCTCTACAAGTCATCAATTTGATTCGGTCCAGGTTGGCAGTTTCTCAGAACATCTGTCATCTGATTGCTCTTTAGTGGTCAGTAAACAAGAAGATCCAGATGTTCTTAGTTTAATAGAGATCCATCATCTAAAATGCCCCAAAGTCCTGTACACTTCTATGTGCCTAAAGGTCATATTGAAATGGACTAGGGATCGCTGAGAATCCTTTCTCCCGGGCATTACTTCTAAGTGGTGGGCATGCTGTCCTCGTGCCTCCCTCACATGGCCAGCGGAGGAGGACCTTGCCCTACCTCTCAGACTGCAGCCCTGAGCCACCTTGGAGGTGGGGAACACCACCCATGAGTGCAGCTCCCTGCAGTCCTGGGGAGCAGGGAGAAATAAATCTGCCTTCAGTCATACCGTTCTACCAATCTGAGCACACGTGTTTTTCTGGTTTCTCTTCTTCCAAGCAAATGCTTTCTCCTTAGAGTATTTTTTTTCTTTAATGTAATCTCATCCAGAGGAGGAGATTGTTTTGTGATCACTCTGTGTAAGTCCTATCAGCCTCCCTCCCTAAAATGTGGTTCAGATGTCAAGATTGAAAATGCTACACATGCAATAAGAGAGGATGCAAAGATTTATTACAATATAGATGCTTTCTGGGGAGAGCATCATTTCGTAAAGGGATGACTTAGCCATGGTCGCTCATGCCAACATCTACGATACATAGTTACAAAGGTGTAAGTGTGATAGATCATGTTGACTTGGGGCTTGGCTTGTAGACATATTGATTTTATAGGAATATTTACATACAATGTTTTCAAAACTTAAATCTGTAAAAGCCAATTGTTCTTATCACTGCAGTACAGGTGTGTGTGACTGGGTGATATTCTGGAAAAGGATCTGGGAAAGGATGGTCATGTGGGATGACTGGGACAATTAACCAAGTATAGGAGGGGATACTTAACACTGATATTATTTTGCTATCAGTATTTTATCTACACACACTATACTTCTATTTATCAGAGTAACAGGGAGTTTGTTGGAGGCATTGACAAACACTGTGGGCATTTTTTCCATATGCAGTTCATGTTAGAGTTTGGGTGAAGTCTCTGGTTAAAGAAAAGAGGTACCAGGGAAGTTCGGCCTGTAAGTTGGAGTCGCAGCAGTAACTGGAAAATAAACGTCCATGTGGGTCACGGCTGTACCCTGTAGCCATGAAGGTGGAGGCTAAAGGTCCAGCTCAGGCCATTATAGCTAAAGAGGTATGCTCTAAATTTGCCCAAGAACCCCGACTTTCTCATAGACAGAACTGAAAGTACACCATAGGTTGACAGATCTTCGAGGGGAAGGTGTGTGTCTGAAATGCCAAGCTCGGATAGCAAAGAGACCTCCTGTGTTCTAGAGACAGCCCTGATCCTCCCCAGCCACGGTGTTCGGATGGGCAGACACAGGCTGCTCAGCGGTGTTCAGAGATGGCTTCAAACTTGCTGTCATTTATCTATGCTCTGATCAAGGGCATGGGTTATAAAATTGTTGTAAAACCAGTCCAGTTGGGAAAGACATAGAATGCACCCTTCTCCCCATCTCAATGTTCCCCTGCCTGCCAGTGCCCAAGACTCTTGTGGAGCTGCTTTGCCCCTTTTCTTGCTGCGCTTTAGCCTTTATGGCACGCCACCAGGCATATCTATGTGTGTGCGCATGTGTGAGCATGCACCTGCAGGCTGGATCATTCTCATAATTTATTTTTAATTATTAAAATTTGTGCATACAATCATGACATATATTTTTATTTTTACTTGTATTAATTTAAAATATATTCTAATATTTAAACTTCATTTTAAATTTTGTTTTGTTTTATGTATGTTTATTAAAATTCATTTTAAATATTAAAATATGCTAATATTTAAAATTATTATATTGCCCAACCTTTAAAGAGTTCAGAAATTCACCACAACATATACCTCATTCTTTCTCCCTAAAGGAAAATATATTCAACTTTTTTCATTGATTATTTTGGGGTTTATTTCCACATCATTAATAATTATGTTTATATTGTTGTTTCTTAATTTTTGAGTTTTAGCTGTAATCTGTTTACTCCCTACAATTAAAGGTGGGAATTTACCTCTCTCGTATGAATTGTTCTCCCCTGACCTCTTCTTTTTTCCAATACTCCTTTCTTTAATCTTCCAAATATACTTGCATCATAATTTTGTTTAGATCAATATTTAATATTTACATTACTATATACATGTTGTTCATACGTGTTTGTATAGTTTATTATAATGACTTTATCTTTCTTACATATGAGCTGGTATTCCTGTCACTGTTTTAGCACCAGCCTCTCCCTCCACTATGTAACTTTTGTCTCAGGATGCTCCATCGCACCCTCACGCTCACTACCCAGTGTGAATTCCTCCCAGCCTTCTGGCTGCTCTGAGCTGCCTGGAAGAATTTCTCCCTAGGCCCGCTGGCCGCCCCCCTTTCTCTGACCCCAGCTTCACTATCATCTTGGGAATCCTTGTATCTCTTTTAATGGTGGATGTCAAATTTCCTTATCTTTTATTTCTTTTTTTCTTGGATTATTCCTTGGATTTTGTTGGTCATGTTTTCTAGTAGCTTCCTGAGATAGGGTGCACAGGTTGTAAAATTTTGGGGAACATATATATTTGAAATGTCTTTTTTTCTATCCTTGCATTTTATTATTTATTTATTTATTTATTTATTTATTTATTTATTATTATACTTTAAGTTCTAGGGTACATGTGCATAACGTGCAGGTTTGTTACATATGTATACTTGTGCCATGTTGGTGTGCTGCACCCTTCAACTCGTCAGCACCCATCAACACGTCATTTACAGCAGGTATAACTCCCAATGCAATCCCTCCCCCCTCCCCCCTCCCCATGATAGGCCCCGGTGTGTGATGTTCTCCTTCCCGAGTCCAAGTGATCTCATTGTTCAGTTCCCACCTATGAGTGAGAACATGCAGTGTTTGGTTTTCTGTTCTTGTGATAGTTTGCTAAGAATGATGGTTTCCAGCTGCATCCATGTCCCTACAAAGGACACAAATTCATCCTTTTTTATGGCTGCATAGTATTCCATGGTGTATATGTGCCACATTTTCTTAATCCAGTCTGTCACTGATGGACATTTGGGTTGATTCCAAGTCTTTGCTATTGTGAATAGTGCTGCAATAAACATACGTGTGCATGTGTCTTTATAGCAGCATGATTTATAATCCTTTGGGTATATACCCAGTAATGGGATGGCTGGGTCATATGGTACATCTAGTTCTAGATCCTTGAGGAATCGCCATACTGTTTTCCATAATGGTTGAACTAGTTTACAATCCCACCAACAGTGTAAAAGTGTTCCTATTTCTCCACATCCTCTCCAGCACCTGTTGTTTCCTGACTTTTTAATGATGGCCATTCTAACTGGTGTGAGATGGTATCTCATTGTGGTTTTGATTTGCATTTCTCTGATGGCCAGTGATGATGAGCATTTTTTCATGTGTCTGTTGGCTGTATGAATGTCTTCTTTTGAGAAATGTCTGTTCATATCCTTTGCCCACTTTTTGATGGGGTTGTTTGTTTTTTTCTTGTAAATTTGTTTGAGTTCTTTGTAGGTTCTGGATATTAGCCCTTTGTCAGATGAGTAGATTGCAAAAATTTCCTCCCATTCTGTAGGTTGCCTGTTCACTCTGATGGTAGTTTCTTTTGCTATGCAGAAGCTCTTTAGTTTAATGAGATCCCATTTGTCAATTTTGGCTTTTTCTGCCATTGCTTTTGGTGTTTTAGACATGAAGTCTTTGCCCATGCC